TACAGGACGGTTTGCAGCGGATACCGGTCGGAACGTTGCGGTGGCGCGTACATAGTAGATGAGTCTCAGCTAGTTGTTTCCTCGCTATCTGACAACTAGATCCACATTCAAATGCCTTTTGGACAATCGCGTCGCCAAAGTGAATCGTCTATCATCTTTTGCAAGTACCTTCGGATCGTAAAGGTGTACAGGACGAGAGGATAAGGGTGGTGTCAGAACCCCCACTTATGAAGACCACAGCGCCTTCGTTACTTATTCTGGTGCAGCGGAACTGGGATCATCTTGGACAGCGAGGACCAGACTACTTGTACAGGGAAAGGCTCGAGCGCGAGGACGGTCCCGAAAGACAAACTTTACAGTCACCTCCAACGATTCTGTTGCTACCGTGTGCAACGTGACCGGATCAGCAACTGCAACAGGGTAAAAGTCTTTACTAAAAAGGCAAAGGAACGAGGCTACAGGGCACTTATACCAAGACGCGACTTCTGGGCGTCGCGAGCGATGTCGTCAACCAGCCACACCTCAACCAAAGCTGCGCTATTTTTCTGCCTTCTCTCACGTCTGGTTGCTCTCTACCTCTGACTGCGTGTCCTTTGCGGGATTTTAGTGCCAAAAGAAGTGCGCACCATGGGGGTAGCGCGGGCGGAGTTCGGAACGGCATCTGGGCATCACCGCCCTTCAGTCTCGTTTCGCGCCTTCTCAAAAACTATTACACTTGTTCAGCTACTATAATACTTTGCTTTGGTGCTCATTGCTTCAATAAAACTTGGACTCCGCCCTCCACCCCGCACTATAATCTCGCAACGAACACGAATATCCCAATGATTGTTCCTACATAATAGGCTTCTTAGAAAGGAAATTGCTAGCGACTGCATAGCCAGAAGCTCCGCGTCCTTTATTTACCGAGAAGCAAGTTCTTCCTTTGTACCCCAATCCCTGTTGGGCTTTGCTACATCGATTTGAGCGCACTTTTCGACACAAAAGGTTCCTCGTAACATTCGCCTCAGGCTCACTTTCCCTCTCATTAGGCATACGAATTTACCTTATACTCTAGTCCACTCAGTGCACTTTTAGTAATTGAAGACGCTCTATGGAGGCACTTTTCTTATCAAGAGCCGTGAGCCATTCATCACAGATTTATCTTTCATATTACACGCAAAATACAAACATTACTCGTGGGTTATATCGGTCATCAATAGGTACATAATAACAGCTGTAAGCCTAATAGCTATAGAACAAGGTGTCATAACACCGGGAAATTCAAGACTAGAACTTGAGATCAAGAGAAGCATCACGGGATGCTGAACTATTGTTGTAGAATAGGCAGACACGGCTGCAAAACCGTTTCTCCTTGAACTTTTACATAGACAGCATAACTTGTCTCGTACCCATACATGGTATGGTCGAATGAAATAAATTGATATGGCGGGACTCAGCATTGGGAGACCGTCAAGAAGAATGAATGTCGAATATTGGAGGGCTGGATGATGGTAGATGTCCAACTGGCCAATTGCGTACGTGGCGGCCGCAAGTACGAAGAATATCGGCAGACAAGCTTGAAGAGTGAGAGCCTGAAATGAAACGATTCCTATATGTTGTACGATACGTAGTGCCCAACAGTTAGGTCAGTGGTGAGAGGATGTGAAAGACCAACACTTTGGAGACTTTAGGTGACAATTTCACACTTTTTCTTATGGGAGGATCAATCTTCGGGACTCCTTATGAAGAGGTAGGGGACAGAAGCTGTCTCACCCACCAGGGTTGAGAAGGTCCCAACCTGGCAGCACCGTCGTCATTGCAGAGGCGCCCAAAGTTGGGATTATCGGTGAGAAAGGTGAGCATAGAAGCTGCATTAGCTAACTTCCTTACCTTCACGCGTTTTGGCCACCCCGCGACTTCTTCAAGTTGACCAGCTCTTCGCACACGGTACATCTATGGAGGAGGGGCGATGGAAAAAGATACCGCACTTTGTGGGGGGAGGGGGATTGAATCAAAGGTTACCTTGACGGGGGGACAAAGGGGCTTTTGGGGGCTTTCTCTGAACCGGGACAGTATTACAGAGCCATGGTATAGTGTTCCTCAGTTGTTCCTCTATAAGCACAAATAAGCACTTTTCCTCAGCGTCCACGGCCACAATGTGAGTCATCCTCCTCACTGAGCTCAAGGAAGCCTACAGTAATCGCGCTTAATTCCCGTAGTTGAGTCATCCGAGCCAAAGCTCGTAGAAAGGGCCACCGTCAATTTGGAAAGATCAGCGCCCAGCCTTCGGACAACGTCGCTATGCGTCATAATCTGATTATTGGGACTCGACTGTAGAAATCCTTGTACCCCAGGCACACAGGATTCTGAAGATACGTGGATCTACATGCCCAGAGTATCCTCTTACTTCGTCTCTCTGGGCGAAAAATGCTCTAGGGGAACCCTTCATGAGCAAAACGTCTTTTTTTGATCACGTGTGTATCAAGTGGACATATAAAAAAGCGCATCCAATCACAGAAAAAAGGGGCGCTGTTAGGAATAGGGCGGGATGAAGGGGCTCACGATATCTCCCTTCCGGCAGCAAGATGGAAGATATAATATGCTACGAAATCCTAGGATGGCTAGGGATTATTGGAAAACATTTAGAAAGTGCTGTCCGTAGTTGGCCAACAAAGTACACCAGGGGATCTGTCTTCCCGTAATCATCGCTTCCACGAGATATTACTTCTAGGGAAGCACTCTATAACACTTCCTAGATCATCGAAGAGAAATGATGAAACCAGAGTCAAAAACTCACCTTAAGCAGCTGCCCGTGCAGGTGCTTAGTCTTATCTGACAGGGCTGTATCAACGTGTAATTTGGCTATTGTGAGCCTTCTCAGAATAAGAATAGCAATGTACATAGGAATTATAGGCAGTGTCATGTATAGATTCGTGTACAATGTTCTCCATTTGAAAATACTGACATGACCGCTCACACATTCCGAGCTCATATCGTAATCGAAAATCTTCGCCATTGCAGTTTTCACCTCATCCACATCATCACTAGCGAATGAGAATGTTATCTGGAACGAATATGAAATAGCTTGGTCTAGTTTGAGTGGTAAACGCTTGGGAACAACTTCCTAAACACTTCCGAACAACTTCCCAGTGAACTCACAAATTGGAAGAAAGACGGCATATAGACTAGAATAAGAAGTAATACAACGGTGCGAGTCTTTGGTGTAGGATTTCCCAATACATAATAACGGTATGCAAACGAAAATAACAAACTCCAGAACGTGTGAGAATAACAATGCAGCATGAAGCTATACCTGAATTTATTGTTGCGTTGATCTCCTGAGTCAAAAATTACGGTTCTCCTCGATCATTTTCTTGTATTCATCTTCGAACATCTGATGTATTCGAAAACTCACAGAATGAAGCAAACGAGAGGCCCGTAAATTTTGCACGGTCCCTGAGAAAAGTAGAACAGTCCGCCACCTCCAGGGATAATCCTGAAAAATAGAGGAGGTATATTATGACACTTTATGGAAGACAGTTAGGAGTTTGGAAAATGCGCAGCAGGTCCAAAAAAAAATACTCGGCAGGTCCAGCAGAATCAATTAAGTAGCACCGTGCGTAACAACCAATTTTTGTGCCAGTCAGCGCGTGCTTTCAAACTGCACGGCACAGATTTCGCTACATCTAACCCCTACCGAAGCACTTCATTCGGCTATTGGATCTGTAGCATTTTGTAGCAGGCTGATATTTAAGATATGTCTGCGGCTCTTTTCTCGGTGGGGTAGTGGTGGGTTTAGATGGACCAGTACGATAGCCCGGCTTCGCCAAAGAAATTTTTTCGCAACCCTAGAAGGTTACCGTTTCACTTTTCTTCGATTTTGACCCCCATGCACCCATTCACATACCCTGTTCACTGCGAATATGCTACCTCATGTGTCTTGAGACGAAATTATAAAGTTACGAAGCAGGTCCCATCGGTTCAGTGCACATCCCGTTCACTGAAAGCGTCTCTATTTCATCTGACTTCCCGCTGCCGTTCTTCACACATATTACCCATCCCTTTGGCCTGCTCAGGATGCGTTTTGAAAATTTATCGCCACATTCGCACACGCCCGGCCCATTGTGGGCGGAACTTAGATTACCTTTAGTGTGCTCTGTAAATGTTGGCCCATGCCACTTCCATCCCAAGCTTGATCTGTTCCCTAAAAGTGATTTCTTCACATAGTCCCAATTTTCGAGCGGTCACACAGACAAACACACAGACACACATACAACTTCTGGTTTATATAAAGGAGTGGGTCATTCTTAACCACCAGATAGAACGCTGCAACGAAATCAAGAGTCCAGATGCAGTTGACAGAAAAAAATTGGTTTTCATTCAAGGGGACCCCCGTTGGCACAAATTACAGCCTTCAGACCCTCATGGTAGGACTTATGGCGGGTCAGGGTATTGTTTGGGAGATTTCCCTCCAAGCTTTTGCCAATAAGGATTTCAAATCTGAAGATGAATATGCCTTCCAGTGCTGGCTTTTTCTTTCATAATGGATTGAATGGAATAGTCAATGACGTTCATATAAGGGCCGGCCATTCAGAAGCTGGAATGAAAATGTGAAGATTCCCTTCGCTTCACTTTTTCGCTTCTTTGTGTCTTTGTGGACTTCGCGAGTGCACCATCCAGCTGAAAAGAACAACTTGAATTGTTGAAGTGCTTTTGAACCACGACAAGCGTTTCCTTCCCGGAATGGCATTAAGCCGATAGAAGCACTTCCTCCCAGAGTAGCATAAATGTGGCATATCTGAGTTGATGGCCTTCTTTTGGAAGGGAAACCAACAGTGTCCGTACTGTAGCGCAAACTGTAGCGTAAACCATTACAGAAAAAAGGAGAGGTTCTCTGTGAATTACATTCTCGATCTTTCATCATCTTCACATTTTTCATCTTTATCCAGTAACCGCGCTGAAAATAGCATTCAATCGAGGAAAGCTTCTTGCTGTGAAAGCTTCCCGCAATGGCCCGTTCGTGGAATGAGTAATAAGCACTTTTCCCGTTTCTTGCTTTTTTAAGCTCAAAAGTTATATTCTCGTCTATAAAGTGAACTAGAGTGTCCGAGGCGAAGTCAGGGGTACACGTTTGCGCAGCAGATCGGTCAATGTACACCCCATTCCTTGTATTCCTTGTAAT